GGAAGCAAGGTAACCAACATGGAGGAAGCACCCCAGCCTGTGAGATCATGAGGCGTCAACAGAAAGAGGTATTAGAAGTTCAAAATCACACAACCAAATTGATGTGAAAGAGCGTAGATATAGTGAAGACCCAGCACCCACCTGGAAGATAATTGGGCAGCCCCCCTCACAAGGGCCACACAGAATGGATGATAAATTCAGGGTCCTGTATGGCACTGATGAACTACATAACTATCCCCTAGTTCCTAAATATTTCCTCCCCTGACTATTATGGTCTCTAAGTGTTTTACCTCATTAATCATGTTAGATTTGTGTATGTTCATTTGTATATCTAAGATCATGCAGTACATGAAAGTCAAGATAAAGTACCCTTCAGAAATAGTTACAGGAGTAATGATTCCCTGAGTGTATAGAAAGAGGGGGGGGCAGGGTTAAAGGGGGGCAATGGGGAGTTCATACATTGCCAATTTGCAGAAGACTATGGATGACAGTAGGAGCTCAAGGTTGATTTGTGGGATCTACATAGGAAATAAGCCTCTGGTACATCCCTTCTATCCACAATTGAGGGGTGGGGATTAAGGGGTTGTTACTAAACAGAGGGAATTGGAGAGATAAGGATAGAAGATCACAGGCAAAATTCTGACTTGAACTGCTCAAACTTTGTCAGTTGATCCCCCCTCGGGTGCATGCTGGACCTGATCTGGTTTTCAACATTTTCCGTATTTTTGTTTTGTTTTTGTTTTTTCATATTAGGATGTATCTGACAGGTGTTACATCATTGGAGGTCACACACTTGAAGTTGTGTTGTATGCGGTTCTGTTTCTCTGTATGCGGTTCTGTTTCTCCATATATGCAACTCAGAATTGATGAACCTATAGGGGCAACAAGTAAAATAAGGGTTTCGGAAGGGGGATAGTTGGGCAGGTAGGTAAAAGGAAGACTAGTCAAGGAGTCCAGAAATAAACAGTGTTTGGAAACTGATTGCGGCAGCAATTGTACAATACTGCTTGACATGATTGAATGATGTAATGATAGGATATCTGTATTAACTCCCAAACATTAATAAACTTAAAATATATATATTTCAGGCTAGGGAAACGTTATGCAGAATTCTACTCTACATGGGTTCACTAGTTTGGAGACCACTCAACAGCACACAACAACCACACTCTTTTGTCATTTCTGTATTACGTTCAAAAGATCTCTCAAGTCCCTGACACTCACTTGTATTTCTAATTTGCTTTCAAAATGAGAGCAGAGTGCATGGATCACCCAATCTATGTGGGAGGTGGGAAAGAAGTTGAGAATCACTGCTGTCCCAAACTGATGATTGACTCCGTCGCCCCAAAGCAAGATGTCCTATTATTTTTGTCATTTGCATTTCCAAACGTCCCGCTGCCTAGAATTCCTTCCTCTTAGGTAGCGCTGGTGTGCAACAGTGTCACCTCCTCGATGTAGCTTTCCGTGACCTTCCTCCATGGCCCTGCTCGTACCTGTTGACATAGAGCACTTGGCCCTGAGCCTGCTGTGCAGATCCAGTGTAGCTCCTATTGCAGTGCACTGTTGCTTTCTCTACCCCTCTCTGTCCCTCCCAGCTCAGAGCACATGCTTTGTGCAAACAAGGACCGTGAATTGCTAGCTTTTACATCCCTGGGTCTTGGCGCAAAATCTAGCCTCCAATGCACCCAAGAAGATGCATGCATATTCAGATCTGCCTATCAACCCTTTCTTGCTTCATTGCCTTGAAATTTGTTATGAGCTGCTAAGATCATTGATACACACCAAGTCGAGCTACATGAGACCTACCAGATTGGGATTGAGTGGATGGATCGCTGGAAATGCTCTGATTACTAAGAAAGTTGCAATGGTAAAAGTAGAGAGAAGAGGACCTTAGACAAGTAACCAAGACAGTAGACGTCACTGTCACTGACGTGGCATGACTTCGACCTTCTTTCTTTCTCTGTGTCCTTCCTGCACCCACTGACGTATACCCCACCCTCTACTGCCAACGTTCATGAGTCTCATTGAAATGAGCTTGGAATGAACAAGAGCAGATGTTAACTTTATATCACATCCAACCTTTCCATCAAACAACTGGAACTTCATTTGGGATAAGCAACACTGACTTGAGAAAATAGAGGCTTCCTGGTGGCATAGTGGGTTACGCGTTGGGCATGTTAACTGGGAAATTGATCGTTTGAAACCACCAGCTATAATGTGAGGGGGAAAATGAGGCTTTTTACTGCCATAAAGTGTTACTGGGCAGCGGCACAATCACTGAAGACAAAATGGGTACATAAGTAAATGTGGTGAAGAAAGCTGATGGTATCTGGCTTTAAAAAGATATAGCATCTGGGGTCTTAAAAGCTTGAAGGGAAACATGTGACCATCTAGCAGAGAAGCAGCAAGCCCACATGGCAGAAGCACTCCAGCCTGTGCGATCATGAGGTGTCGTTGGGACCAAGTAACAGGCATCAGAAGACCCCAAACAAACAAACAAACAATAAAACAGATTGTTGACAAGAAGGGGGCAGAGCAGACACCCAATGCCCATCGGTAGACAATGGGGTCACAGAGGAGTCACAGGGAAGGAATGAGCCAACCAGGGTGCAGTAAATCACTGATGAAACACACAATATTCCTCTGGTTCCTTGAGACTTCCTCATCCACCCACCCCCACTATCGTGATGCCAGTACTGCCTTTCACAGTGGAGCATGTGCACAGGTACAGATAAAAGTTAAGAGCTTAGACACATGGAATCCAGGAACAGGAATAGGAACAGCGATACCAGAAGGGTAGGGGGCAGGTGGGGAAAGAAGTGGAGGAAGAGGGAACCGATCCTAACGATCGACACCTAACCACACACACATACCCTATAAGGGGATGAACAATGGAAACCATGTGGGAAAGGAGACAGCAGTTGGTAGCAACGTATGTACACTTATGCCTGATACAATTGATGTATGGATTATTATAAGAGTTGTAAGAACCCCCAATAAAATGACCTTTTAATACAAAAATTGTTTAAAGAGTTACTGGGCGGTGGTGCCCAGACCTACAAGGTCATCAGGAATCAGAATTGCCTCAAGGGCAATGGGTTGGTTGGTTGGTTGGTTTGACTTAAGAAAGTGAGATGCCTTCATTATGTTTTTGTCACTTAGGATTATAAGAAACAAGTTATGGCTTTATGACAATTCTATAACAATTAATTTTAAAAGGTGATCATTATTTTTAATACAATTATTGTGACCTTTGGAACTACTGTGCCTATAGAGGCCTTCACTCTCCCCCACACCCCCGCAGGCCCTTTTTAAAAATTACTGATGTTATATTTTCCCTAGTACACTTAAAATACATGATTAAATATTTCCCCCAAAGCTCTCCTCTTCAACAAGAAAAGCTAACAGTAAGTTTCACAGATGATGTACACTGGCGTGAAGGTGTGTTTGTTTACATCCTACAGTGGCCGTCCGCCAGGTGGAAGCTCTGACCGCATCCAGAAGTTGAGGAAGGAGTATTATCAGGCTCGAAGGGAAGGTTTTTCTTTATATGAAGATGACGAAGGAAGACCCAGGCCTTCTGATTATGACCTTCACTGGGTAAGTCTGTGACTGATTTCAATCACCGAACGGGTCTCAATGAGATGGTTTGGAGCAGAAGAACGCCACCAAGCATGCTGAATACATAGCAAGTGCTGCTTGGGTTACATGGACTTTGTAGATATGAATATTACCCAAACCACAGCCATCCTCACCCACAAAAGTTGTTTACATAAATCAAACCACACAACTGTACAGTAGCTCCTGTTAATTGCTCTCATATTTATTCCCTGCTGTAATTGTATACCAGCCAGTTGGGGTGGAGCAGATGTTAGCTACTTTAAAGAGGACAAGGAATTTTTATCACCCTCGATTGAGTTTAAATCTTTGTCCTCCTTCTCTTGGATTTCAGACATCTGGACAAGTGTTACTAGAGCATGCAACATAAGCCATCTCTCATTAGCAACAAAGGAACAGAAATGAGTTTCAGAAGGGGCATCTTCAGAGATATGGATTATTCGTATATTAGATCGGAGAATTCTCTTTCTGCTGATCTAACCAGCACACCAAGATCACGTTTGGAAGTAACTGTAGAGAGATTGTTTTTGTTGTGCGTGGTTTAGCCCCCCGACCCCCACCAGGAGAGCATGATTTGTTCTGTTGTCTTTCTCAAAAAGGCAAGGCTGTCCCTCCACAGCACACTGAACTCCCCAACGTCCACAGAGAGATGTGCTTAGCGTCGGATTAACGACCCATGTTCCGTGTTTAGAACAGTACTCGACACAGAGTCACTGCTCAACACGTATTAGCCTTGGTGACTAACATTGGTAGCTTTGTCCTGAACATGTCCTTGCTATAAATCTAATGTCCTGACTGTAAAACAGCTCTCCCTTACCATCTCGGATTACAACTGCTTTCCACTACAGATGGTAGTGCTGTTTGGAGAACCATAAACAAGGAACTCTAGCCCTGGTGGCCACTAAAGATCAGAACCCCCTTGGAGAGAGAATTCTATCAGGAGGAAGATTCCTTCCTTCTGTTTCATGCTCTTATGCAAACTTAGGGGGTCAGCCTAAGTGGTGGCTCCTTCTACCTTTCACTGCTGGGCTGCGCTGTGTCACACTTGACACTTGCACTTTTGCACTGGTGTTTGAAGATCTCTTACAGGATCTCCCCACGTGGCACAACTGTTGTTGCTAATTGCTGTGGAGTGCAGGGTCCAACTGCTGCATAGGGCTCCCAAGGCTAGGGCCTTTGGGTGCAGATCCCTCGGACTGTCTTCCAAGCTTCCTCTGGCCACTTAAGTCATTTGCGCCACCCAGGGAACCCCTGAAACATCTTGCCCCAGTAGATTCCTTCTCTCTGGGTAGGATTTAAAAATACTAATGAGAAATGCATAGTACGAGTTGGTGATCTCACCCTCTGTGACTTAAGCCTCTTCCAGAAACTCATGGGCATCCTGTGACTCTGTGTGTGTGTGTGTGTGTGTGTGTGTGTGTGTGTGTGAAACTCATGGGCATCCTGTGACTCTGTGTGTGTGTGTGTGTACCAAATTGCTATCAAATCAATTCTAACTCATGGAAGTTCCCGGTGTCAGAGTAGAACTGTGTTCGTTAGGGTTTGCAATGACTGCTTTTTTCAAAAGTAGCTTACCAACCCTTTTTTGGGGGGTAGCTGTGCTTATTCTCAAACCCCAACCTTTCAGTTGGAGGCTGAGCATGAAAACACCGTCCAAGGGCCACCCTGTGTCTGTAGATCAGAACAGATAGATAGTTCTTGGTTGAATTACAGATGTTAAATGTTAAACTGGAAGATATTTACATTGCTAGGGCAACGGGTCTTGTGAAGTCTCAGTAGCAAGGGACACTGACCCTAAAGGTTCACAAGTCACCTCCTTTACAGACTTGACCAATGTCGATTGACTGTGTTTAATGAAAGAAGTGAGCCCCTCGCATCGGTGAAGTTTGCTCCCTAGATAAAACAAATGAGCAAAAACATAAAGTTACTTCCACTTTACACAAAACATCTCAAATCCGCTCTGAATTCCTATGAGGAAAATAAGGCAGATAATTGCAGATGAAACATTCCTTGTGGTTGTGGCCTTGGTTTGTGTGATTCAAGCAAGCCCTCAAGCTGAGAGAATAGAGATGCTGAAACTTCACGAGACTGCAGAATTTCCAAACCTGGCCTATGTAACTAGCCCTTTGGGTCCTGCCTTCTGAAATAAGTCTATGTTCATGCTAAGCAAATGTGCAGCCATCTGAACAGTTGTGTGAGCAAAGAGGTCTCTCTCTTTTCGCCTGTGCTTCTCATGCTCCGGTGTGTGGTAAGCCTGGCCAAGACTGACTGGTTTTACATTTGCCGGACTTCTGGGATCTAAGACTTCCCAGAGGGATGGCTGGGAACTGCACTGTCATAAAGGACGAGTGTTCTTTGTGATCACAGGAAACAGGCATTAGAATCCCAACATCCTCTCCCCTCCTCTTCTCAAGCCGGAAGAACACTGGAGTCTTTTGTCCACACAGGCCTCAGAAATGACACTGTGGTCTTGCTACCTTGCAGAGAGATAAGAAAAGCAAGCTGAACTTCGGCATCCCTGGGAAAGGAGTTTAAATTAGATTGACCGTTTAGTTCGGAGGGGACCTAGTATCCAGGGACGGCCACTCACATGCTTCTCCAGGTAGTCACCAAGGATTCTGACCCGCCGGCCTCCAAGAAGTGCACGCCCTCCAGCCTCTTCAGAAGACATGCATCTATTGCAGCTGCTTTTGCGAAACAAACAGCATGGACCAGCATCCCCAGAAATGCTTCCTGGGCTCAAAACTCCCGAAGCCTGGGAGCGCAGCTTGAGAGATATGACGCGTGTCACATTCTCCAGGGGAGCGCCTATTTCATTGAGAAGGAAATCAGGAAGGCACATTGGAACACACCTTCTTTTAAAGGATTTTTAAAAAATATGCCAGGAATAAAAATAATGACTGTCTGCTCGCCAAAGTCTTCAATCCAAACGGCAGAAGTGACCACCTGAAAGCCCTTCGTAGCTGTCGTGGTGCCCGCTGTCACGCGGGTTCTGCTTCGTGGTGACCCCGTGTGTGCAGAGTGGAGCGCTCCTGGGGCCTTCAGGCTGTGGCCGGTCCAAAGCAGGGGGACAGCCCTGTCTTGCAAGATGCGTGCTTCTGAGTCAGCACCCCCTTTGTACCTGGTGGTTAACCTTGAACCATTTGAACCCTAGCACTCCTAAGAGACCGTTAGGATCCATGAATTATTTTACTAAGCAAAGAATCATTTCTCCATTAGAGGGCTTCATCTTTCTTTGACCTTCCACAGACCCTGCGGGTCCTACCAGGCCATCGCATTTACTGATCTCTACCAATTTTACACACTGCCCCGAGCCAGAGCTAGCTCCCTCCTGGCTGGAGCCAGCGACCTCTGCCTTCCTCCCCGTGTTCTAGCTTGTCCTCACACCTCTTTGTCCCTCTCTCATTCTCTCCCCTTTTCTAGCCCTCTATTCAATTTCAACAAATATTCGCTTGGTCTTAGAATGAGCCAGGTGGTGGTAACACAAGAAGACGATAGCATCTCTACCTTGGAAGAACTCACAGTCTAGCCAGAACGACAGACATCGAAGCCAAGTCAAAAAAATTAAAGAACAATAATATGTGTGATAAGTGTGGCAGGACAGAAGGGCTTCACCTCTCTGTGAGCTCAGAGAGAGAGGTAAACCTGTTGACATCAGGGCATGTAGTTAGAGGAGCTGAGGAAGCTATGGGGACAATTTGGAAGTTTCCTTAGCCAGCATATTTTGTTCTCTTTCCCTCTTTCAAATGGGGTATCTGATTCTTTTGTTGTGGTGGTGTCTTGTTTTTTCATCCCTAAAGGACATTTGCTTTCTAAATAAATGAACAAACCCAGATGGCAAGGTTTATCAATCTAGACACGGTACCTTAAAAACCTTTGCAGCCAGCCAGTTTGCGAGCGGTTTTCTCATGTAGGCTCTGAAAACCAGCAAAGAACAAGTGGCCAGCATGTCCATGGCTGCGAGTGAAACCCGGCAAGTCTTTATAGGCTCTAGTAAGTCAGTCAGATATGCTAGCTGCGAAGTGTTAGTGTTTGCCAAAAGGAAACAAAATACCTGTTATCAGCCAGTATTTTATTTTCTGTAAAACTTGTTAAGACTGTCACCTCTGGCAATAGGCGATTTTTTTTTATTAGCAGATAGAGTCTCTCCCTACTTCACAGTAGCATGAATATCCTATAAGTAATTTGGGAAATGGGGTGGCTGTGGAGTTTTCTAAAAATATTAATATTAGCCCTTTGATTATTGTCTATTTTGTTAAGAGGTATATGGCACATACCAACTGCCGACCCCTTTTTCACTCGGGGGTTAAATTAGAGCAGTGCTTATAGGCTTGTGTGGGGGGAGAGGCAGCGAGTTGGTTGCCAGATGGAAACGGGTATTAAAACATCTTCAAGCAAGCATGGTCAGCTAGATTCCACTGCCATCGCACTCATGGTCCTCTGGTTCTCTGTTACTGGAGATTGTGTCAGGTTGGTCCAGGTTGGGACAAAGGGATGGTTGGGCAAATGAAAGCATGAAGGTGGCTTCAGAGCCAACTGGAGGGAAGGTGCTTGGCTAATGGAAAACACGGAAGGCACAGTCATCATCAGAGCAAAGTTAGAACAACGATGCTGAGATGACGCCAGTCGTCTGAAGAAAGGATTTGTGGTAGAACACATAATCACACAAGAAGCACAAAAAACAGTAGTAGGCTGTTTGCTAAACATGAGGAGAAAGAGAAGGGAGTTCATGCTGTCATTGGTCCATACCATGAGATTTCTGTGTGTTTTCATGATCTGCTCCTTAAAAGGCATTAAAGCTGAGGACATTGATGAACAATCCTGGATTAGTCAATGGGTTTTCTATTGAAAAGACAGGAGCCTAATGCTAAATTCCTTCAAAAAGAAAGGAAAATGCATTGGCTGATCTAACTTTTAAAATTCAGAAGAAGGTAGGCTTCAGGCAAAGTTGGATCCAGCTGTACCTTTATCCCTTAACTTTG